CGATTATTGCAGAGTAATTGATGCTCTGCTTTGCAAGCTCGAAGACTCGCTTCTCACACTTCAGGATCACTTATATTCACAGGATATTAGTGAATTCATCAGTAAGTAGTTATGGGGCTCCTTGTAGGTGTCAAACACTTTTCCATGGAGCTGGAGGTAAGGTGGGGAAAAGAGAAAGCTTAAAGTCTCAGTTGGAGGAGAAAGAGAAACACCTAAGAGGCAATGATTGTTTCAGGATGCCATGGTGTCATGATTAGGTAGGCAGAAGAACGGGTTAGAGAATGACTGAGATGGTGGCAATCTAGCATTTGAGGATGTCCAGGTCAGCTCTTGGTGGCTAGTGGATTACCATTTTGGAGTTGAATGGGTAAGAATTTGGCTTTTATTCCAGGTGAATAGGCAGCCATTGGAAGTTTCCAAATGAGGGCATGGGGGTGGGAAGGGTCAGATTTTTTTTTTTTTTTTTTGCTTTAAATAGATTCCTTGAAACATAATTTATAACCCAAGAATCTTGTTTCTCCATCAATTCTTCTTTGCCTTTGTAGGTTCCACTTTGAATTATATCTTGAATGCAGAGGAAAGGAGGTAGAGGAGCCTATGGCAGTTTTTACTAGTTACATGACCTTAGGTTAATTGCTTAATATCTTGGAGCCTCAGTTTCCTTCTTCATATAAATACCCATCATAACACCTGTCTCTACAGGTTATTAAAAGGATTAAATGAGATCACATAAATAAAACATCTGCCTCAGAGACTGGCAGAATAAAGACTCAGTGACGTAAATCTCTTTCCTTCTTTTTCTTTCCAATATGCCTGTATATGTCGCTGAAGTCAAAACAGAAATAAATGGAAGTGTTGGTAACTGGTTCAAAAAAATCAATCTCATTACTACAGGATATGAACTATTGCTTACCATAACATCATGGGAGTAATCTGGCTGCTGCCAGAGAAAACCAAAATCTTAATTTGAATCAATGGAAGTACCATTTTCTGGTTTGGATTCTTTTTGAGATAGAGTCTTGTTAGCTCTGGCTGGGCTTAAACTTAACAATCACCCTGATGATACTTCCCAAGTGCTAGAATTACAGGTGTGTGCCACTATGCACAATTTCTGTTGGTATTCAATACCTGGAGTCCTGGAAATAATTCTGAGTATGCTCATTTGAGAACACTAGATAAGTACATGCAAAGAATGATAAGCGGTGAACCATTGTCACATGTAAAATGATTGGCTTTAGGGGGAAAAAACAAAAGACTCAAAACTTAAAAAAAAGGAGCTGTACAGGACCCATCTATTACTTTGGAGAGAGATAAGAGTCAATTTCCATGATTGCAGAGGGAAGTTCTCAGGCAATACAAGAATTTTAGAAGGGAAGGACAAGGTTTAGCAGGCAAAATATTATATAGTGCTAATTGTAGAGTGGTATTATATAAAGAATTTTTACAATAAGCTCATAGCTGAATTGAAAGACCTCTCATTGTACCTCTCTAATTTCTGATCCCCTAAAGGTACAACCTACATTAGCCAGTTCTCTGAAAAACAAGACACCATGTTAGATAGTAGGGATTAGGTCCTTTTCTTCTGACTCTGGCAATACAAGGATGCTGAGTATGAGACTGAAGTATGAAAGACTCACATGGGGTTATCACAGCAGGGCAGGAGGAAGAAATAGAATTCTCACCTCTGGAAATATGGATGGAAAGTAGGAGAAGAAAACAAGGGATTGGTAAATTGTTGCTCAGACCATTCCCAGGGTGGGAAGACACTATTTGAAGACCCAGCTTGATCCTGTGTCTTCCTGTGTCTTCCCTCACAGACTCTGATCAATCACAATTTTTGTTCATGTGTGTAAACAATGTTTGTTTCTCTCCTCCTCCTTCTCTGTCTCTTTCTCCCCTCCCTTCTTTTACTGTCCCTTTCCTGTCTCTACTTTTCCTGCTATTGTCTATAAGAAAATAGAACCCCCTCTGAGGGCATTCATTCTCCTAACAGAGGGCACTCAATACATGTCCATGGAAAAAAAATGAACAGTGGGGTTTTCCTCAAAGTAGAATATGACAGCAGGAAATAATGGTACTTGGATTAAGTTCAATAATCCTAAGAAGTCAAGAAATATGCCCAATAATAGCACTGGGCAATTATATACATCATCTCAACTTCAGTCTGATTGTCAGAAATGAGTGCAAATCTGAGATTGTCTCATCGTGTTATATTTGGTCTAAAAAGAGTTGCAAGTCCAGAGTAAAGCAGTTCAATGCTGGGACTGATGGAAGAGGAATAAACCAACCAGGAACCAACAAGCTTTTTAAACTGTCTCGATGGGAGACCCTTAAAAAAGGCAGAGGATTAGCAGAAAAGAAGGTAGATAATGGAGCGGCAAGAGTCAGGGAATGAAGTGGTGGATGCACCTCTTGTTTGTGTTACCTAATTTAATCCTTATAACTCCCAGTTTAAGGAAGAGTAATAGAGTACATTTTGGGGATTCTCATGATGAGTTCAGGTAAATGGATACAATGAAAAGGACCTACTATGAAAGTACGTACCATGTGTTGGGCACAGTTGAGGATAGATAGAACAGATCGTATTGGCGTGTCATGGTTTGCTGGCCAATAGCTATGGTCATGGGTAGACACAGCTTTTGTGCGATCTGAAGTCTCTATATATTGTTTTGTTTTTTGAGGAGGAAGAGGAGACCTTATTAGGAAACATAATATAAATTTTGAATATGAGATTAAAAGCAGGGCCTTAAAAGGCGCCAATGTAAAAGCCAAGCATGGTGGTATTACATGCCTGTAATCCACCTCCAAGGGAGATATAGTAGAAAGATCTAGGTCTAAGGCCAGCCCTAGGCAATATATATTTATATTCTATCTGAAAAACAAACTGAGAAAGGACTAGGGGCAAAGCTGAAGTGGTAGAGTGCTTGCCTAAGCCATTGCTGAAGGGATGCTAAAGCTCAGGCTTTGTCTTTTCATAGTAAATCCGTCATTGGTTGTACTGACAGTTCATCAGTCAGTTTAATAGAAAACAGTGTCACAGTGGTCCTCCAGAGTGTATACCTTGAAAATCAAGGGCCAGAAAAGAAGGAGATGGTGCTAAAGTGGGAAGTTAGAACAGCTCAAACAAGCTATTTCACTAATAGCAGAAAAAGACTAATTCTTAAAAAAAAAAAAAAAAAGCTGTTTTTATCCTTCTTCCTCCTCTAAAATTAAAAAAAAAACAAAACTTCTCTTTTTATTAAGATAGTTTAAAAAAGAGAAGTTTTATTTTGACTGCAAATCACCAAATGATTTCGGGTCTCAAGGTAAGCTTTTCCTGTTACGGCCCAGGTTTCCCGTCCATGTGTGTCTGTTACCAGGGTGATAAGCTGCATATTTCAAGATTTAGAATAAAAATTCCTCTAAAATATTTCATAATCTGGTGCTATTAGCCTCTGAGTAGACCTGGTGGAGGGGGGGGCTGGTGGAATTTTGAGAACTTTCTCTCCCTGTCTACCAGTGTTTCCTATGTTTTCCTGGGCCCAGACCTCCCGAGCGAGTGAGTTCTCTTGGATGCGAGAGGGTGGCTCTGCGGAACTAGAGAATGAACTGCTGTCAATGCCGGCTCTCGCTGGGCACCAGTGGCTCACACCTGTAATCCTGCCTTACTCTGGGGGGCTGGGATGAGAGGAATATGTTTTGAAGCCAGCCTGGATAAATGAATCGGAGAGATTTTCATGTCTAACTAACCAGCAAAAAAAGCCAGAAATGGAGATGTGCCGTAAGACTTTTTGTGGGTGTTAGCAAGAAAGCAAAACAGCAACATAGCAGCAACAACAACAACAAAAGAATGGAGTTTTGTAAATGGTGGGACACCATGGACCAGAGCAGAGGGGAGGCGGAAGAGAGATCTTAGGATACCTTGAAAGGCTAGGGGAAGATTTACCATCTCCCCTTCTCCTCTGCAAGATCACAGGCTTTCCATCAATGCTCTAATGTGGTCTAGGTTGATAACTACCATCTTCCTGGTTGTCGAGACCTAGTGTGGGATTCAGGCCAGGAATCCAATAAGCAGAAGCAGACAGTGTGAGTTAATGGCGAGGGCTGTCAAAGACACAGGCCCAGCGCAGGAAAACCAGCCAAAGGCAGGCAGGAGGTGGTGGATGGAGGTGACTTACCTCCTGACAGGCACCTCCCAGATTGGCTGGGGGGGGGGGGGGAGGGGAGAGGAGGGGCCTTGGGCAGGTGGGAGGGAAAGGAGTGATTTCATCTGTTTAATGAAAAATGACCTGACCGATTTCTCTGAACCTGGAAACTCCCCATCTAACTGAGGCCAAGGAAAACAGGATTAGGCTCTCTTTCTTTAAGAAGACTGAGTTAAACTTGAGGGAAAGGTTGGGGGGGGTGGTGGAGAAAGCCAAAAGCAAGATAATTTTCCTTCCCTTCCACCATCTCTGTGGGGAAATCAGGAAAGACCTGACCCCTAGGGTGATGATGAAGAGGACAGATTTCTCTCTGGTCCCTGAAGATACTTTTATTCCGGTCCCTCTATCCAAGAAAGGGGCTCCCCATTCTTCTGTGATGTCTTCATAATAACAAAGTTTGCCATGGAGTTTTCAGATAAGAGTCACCCCTCCCCAAACTTCTGATCTCAAGGCTGATCTCCCTCATCCCTCTGAGCTCCACAGGGAAATACTGGTACTCCAAAAAATATTAGGCTGTTAAAAACAACAACAACAAACAAACAAACAAACACCACAACATATCTGTTGTTAGAGATGGAAACGATGAGCAAGCCACTCTCTAGGTGTCCTATCGCAATGGCATTTCTTAAGATGCCTGTGCTTAGATTTGGGGGACACAGGGTTTTTGGCGGGTCTTTAAAATTTTTCCAGAGGAGCAAATAAAACCTTACACACACCTCACTGTTACCAGCATTTAACAAGTCTTGTGCCCCAATTCTTCAAATCATCTTCTTGACAGAACAGGGAAATAAATCCATAGGACCCTTTTCTTTTTAATGCAATGTATATTTATTGTAAACAATAATATACAAAAAAAAGGAAGGAAAGGAAAGGTAAACTTCACAGAGTGAAGAAAAAGGTTGCAGGGGATATTTAAGGACAACAAACAAAACACAAACGAAAAACCAAACCTTACCTAAAGAGAAAATATGATTTAAATCCAGGTTTCTTAAGTTACAGAAATATCTTTTAAAAAGATGTTTTCTTTTATACAGAAATTGAAAGACGCCATATTATTATGAGTGCTTTAAGATTTTCTTCTACTGACTTCTAAGACTGTTAACATATCTTTTCTTTTAAATAAAAAAAAAAGGTCTGCTGTCTTAAAACAGCAACAACATCAACAACAAAAAGCAATCCAAAAAAGCAATCCTCAACCTCTCTCTAGCCACAGCAGTGATGAAGAATTAAGGTCTGACAGTAGGCCCACCTCACTGGTGACCTGTCTTTTCTCCAGCGCCTGCAGAGGAAAGTAGATGAATGACACACATTTGTGCTGTTTTGTGTCACAACACACTTGTGCACACATGTGCGCCATGCGCGTGCAGACACACACACTCACACACACACACACACACAATTCTGTAGCCCAAAGGTCTGTGGCAGCAAACATTGAACGACAACCCACTACACGTACAGTTTCTCATTTGTACAAAAAAATAAAAAATAAAAGAGAGAGGGAGAAAGAGAGCAAGAGAGAGAAGGAGAGAGAGAGTTTCCAGTTTGTTTTCAACAAAAACAAAGGGGTATGGGAAGAACAACTGACCAAAAGGTATTTGTACAAATCTAGGATGAGGAATCCAAAGAAATTCACTTTTAATAATAATTAAAAAAAAGATTAAAGAGATAAATAAAAAAAACAACTGGTTATAGTTAAGAACATAATTTAATAACAGGTGGCCATACCTTTGAGCAAGGCTCCAACAACCTATTTTCAAGACAGTAAATTAAAACAAAAAAAAAAAAAGGAGGAAGAGTTTTTCTCTTTATTTTTTTTTTAAATTAAAACCTCTCCTTACAAAATAAATAATTTGAGCACGTGGAATGTCTTGAAGGTTAACCGCTGGTGTTGAGAGACATGGTGAGAGATGTCTGGGTAGGCAGACTGGGCCAGCTGCCCCCTCCTCCCCCACATGGGGTCCAGGTGGGCAACCAGGGAGGGGGAGGCGGTGTACTTGGGCACTTATTGCCTGGCCATTCTAACATTCTCCAAAGATTTCCTCCTTTTGCTGGCCTTTTGCTTCCTTCTGAAGACTGCAGAGAACAAGCAAAGGCAGGAAGGACAGGCAAACTGAAAGAGCGGATGGGTTTCCCAACAGCTCGCTTTTAAGGCTCAAGGCGTTTTCCTCTTGTTTAAAAATATATATATGATAAAGCTTACCAAATGCTTCTTCTCTAGACTATTTGTTTACCTCCCTATTTGCAAAATAAGGCTTTTTTTGTTTTTTTTTTTAAACTTCTCTCTTTTTTTTTTTTAAGGCAGCTCCTACTGGAATTGGAAAGCCTGAGGAATTAAGCAAAGCTCCCCCCTTCCCCGCCCCCCCCCCAAAAAAAACCCCAATCGCCTCACACAATTCTGTGTGCTTTTTTTTTTTGTATGTTAATATAATGACACGCTTTTTTTTTCTTTTTTTTCTTTTTCCTGTTGGAGGAGAAAGCAAATCTGTACAAAAATACTCTGGTCGCAAGAAAAAGCTAGGGCATACAGTTCAAACTAAGTAGTTTAGCTGTTGGAAAAAAAATAAGAGCATTTAATTTTTTTAATCTAAAAATATGTATAAATCCCCTCAAAATGATGATAATGAATCATACACAGTACATACTAAAAATATTTAAAATAGAGAATATTCCTCACAGAGGACTTCTTTCTTTTAATTACTGCTAAAAAATAATTACAAAGGTCCAGAGAGGCGGGGAGAGATCTCTTGATTCTCTTGCCATCTTCCACTTTTTCTCATCCTCCCCAGAGAGAGAAAGAGGGGGGTGGGTGGGGAAGGAGGGAGAGAGAAAGAGAGAAGAGGAGAGGAGAGGCCTCACCAACCGGCCACAGATCTGCCGCAAGTTGCTACTGCATTGGGAAACAGGGTCAGGTCTCTGGTCTTGGGATCTTGAGTTATCTTGGAATCTTGAGGGCGCCTTTTAGCTTACATGTCTTTGACAGAATAAAGGAACAGGAACCAAATCTACGTCCAAAAGGCAATTCTGGTGGGTTGGTGGTGGTGGTTATTATCATGAATTTTTCTTTCTCGATTGTTTCTTCTTGTTCTTTTGATCATCCATCACCAAGGACCCTGGGGCTTGCTTGGCTTGGCTGGGCCGGCTGGCTGGCTGGCTGGCTGGCTGGAGCCCTGGCAGGTTCTCCCCGCTTAAGGTCTGGTGAGCTGTGTGTAGACGGGTTGTTCCCAGTGCTGAGGGCTGTGCGTCTGCGGGATGGAGGGGACCCCGGAGGTGTCGGCGATGGGGGTGTACATGGGGCGCTGCGCCGGGTTCATGTAGGTGAAGGTGGAGTAGAGACCAGAGCCCTGGCCGGCCGCGTGGCTGTAGTAGGAGCCCGAGTTCTGGTGGTCGGTGTAGTCGTACTGCGAGCGGGTGATGGGCGGGTAGGAGGGGCTGTAGTGCGGGAGGTTGAAGGGGCTGTAGGCGATCTGCTGCGGCGAGTGCTGCTGCTGGTCGCTGTAGTGGCTGGGGCTCAGCTGCTCCGTCTTGATGTGCGTTCGCTGGGACTGGCCCGGCTCGCTGGTCAGCGTGGTCAGCGTGTGCGCCGGCGCCGGGGGAGGGGGCGCGGGCTGCGGGGGCGCCGGCTGCGGCTGCGGGGGCGCGGGCGGCGCCTGCGGGGCCTGCGGGGCCTGCGGCGGCGGCGGCGGCGGCGGCGGCGCGGGCTGCTTGGACATCCACACGTGGCCCCCCGCGCCGGCGGGGCTGGCCGCGGTGCTGCTGATCCCGTAGCTGCCCGTGTAGGTGACCTGCGGCTGGCCGTGAGTGGCCGGCACCCCCGGGTGACCGTTGGGGGGCAGGTACTGATCAAATTCGTTGACGTCGAAGGTCTCGATGTTGGAGATGACGTCGCTGCTCAGCTCCCCGATGTCCACGTCGCGGAAGTCGATGTGGGGCTGCCTGCCCCCCTCGGCTAGCGGGCGCCCCTCGCGCTTCAGGTCGGCCTTACCGGGCTGCACGTCGGTTTTGGGAGTGGTGGGTGGGGTCGGTGGGCCCTGGGATTGTCCTGTAGACCAGCAAGGAGAAAGAAAGCGGGAGGGAGGGAGGGGGGAATCAACAGAGGCCGTGCCAAAGGGCCTGGGCGATCGGAGCCCGCCCTGCCCCCCAGGTGGGGACGGGGCCCCGTGTGGTGCCCGCGATAAACCCGCCAATGATTAACCCGCCGGTACACACACGCATGCACACGCACGCACACGCACCGGACAGCCCCCTCCCCCCCGGGGGCGGGCCCGAGGGTCCGGAAGAAACCAAACTGCTACTTGCAGAGGAACAACTGAGGCGTGTGTCTCGGGGGGGAGGGGGGGGACCCGGGGGGGGAGGGGAAGCAGACACCCCCGGGGGGGCGGTGGGAGTTTCAGTAAGGTTGCAAAGGCATTTCTACCTCGCCATAAAAAAAAAATAAAATAGAAGAAGAAGGAAAAAACCCACGAGTGTCTTAGGATGCGGGGATGGCGGTGTGCGCGTGCGTGCGTGCATGCGGGGGGGGGCAGGGAGAGGAGCGGGATTGCACACTGAGGGTACAGTTCACCAATCCCCCCCCCTCCACCCCAAGCGCAGTCTCCAAGCGGAGCCTCGGAGACCTAGGGCCTTGGGGTGGTGCCAAGAGCGCCCCCCCATCTCTCCACACCCGCCGCGCGCCCCGCGGCCCCACGGCGGGGAGGGGGTGGGACTCACCCGAGTGCTCGCCCGGAGAGTGCACCTCGCTCATGCCCGACGACGAGTGCGGCGAGTCGGCCTGCAGCGCCTTGAAGATGGCGTTGGGGGAGATGTGTGTCTGCTCCGCGGCCTCCTCCGCCTCCGCCTGCCCGTTCTTCACCGACTTCCTCCGCCGGGGTTGGTACTTGTAATCCGGGTGGTCCTTCTTGTGCTGTACCCGCAGCCGCTCCGCCTCCTCCACGAAAGGCCGCTTCTCGCTCTCGTTCAGCAGTCTGGAGGAGGAGGGGGGGGAAGGAAGAAGAGGGTGGAGAGGGGGGGTCAGCGCAACTCGGAGCGCTGTCAGTGCGCCCCGCTCCCCACGCCGCTGCCCCCACCCCTCCCCACGCCGTCCGGCCACCGCTGTCGGAAAAGGCCGACGCCGCCGCAGCCCGGACCGAGCCCCGCCCCGCCCCTCCCCGCCCCTCCGCTTCTATTTTGGAAACCCCTGGAGATGGAAATAGCTCGAAAACGCCTCGGCTACTGACTGGACTCATCCACCCCCCCCGCCATCCGCAAACTTGAACAGCAAGCAGCCCCCCCCACCCCATTTATTCCCAGCGTCCTCCCTCCTCCCCCCCCCAGTCCTGCTATTCCCCCCCCCCATAGTCCATCTCATCTCCAGGGGTGAATGTCCGCCCCAGAAAGCTCAGTTCAAGCGAGGGAGATGTAACCTACCCCCACCCCACCCCCGCACCCCATTCACGCACGTCTTGGCAGAGCAGACTGCACCCCCTCCCGCTCCTGTCCCGACTCCTCCACTGTCTCCCCCACCTTTCCCCTCCCCGCCGCCCCAACTCCGCGCGCGCGCGCGCGCGCAGTCCCAAGAACTTTCTCCAACTCTAGGCTTTGGCTACACCTCGCCCCGGCCCGCCAGCTGCGGGGACCCCCTCCCCCCCCCCTCAGCTCGCTCTGGCTGGGAGGGAGGCGGGGCTGGGACTCTCCCCCCCCCCCCCTCCCCGCCTTCCCTCGCCGCGACCGAGCCCACCCGACGGCGCCCCCCGCCCGGCCTCACCTCCAGAGTTTGCCGAGCGTCTTGCTGAGCTCGGCGTTGTGCAGGTGCGGGTACTGGTCGGCCAGCTTCCGGCGCGCCGCCTGCGCCCACACCATGAAGGCGTTCATGGGGCGCTTGACGTGGGGCTTGTTCTTGCTGGAGCCGTTGACCCGCACCGGCATGGGCACCAGCGTCCAGTCGTAGCCTTTGAGCACCTGGCTGACCGCCTCACGGATGCACACGGGGAACTTGTCCTCCTCGCTCTCCTTCTTCAGATCCGGCTCGCCTTTGGGGAACGTGTTCTCCTGGGGCCGCGTGTTCTCCGTGTCCGAGCCGGAGCCCGAGGGACAGGGCGAGCCAGCCGAGTCCTCGGACATGGTGGGGCTCGGGGCACCGGACAGGCCCTTCTCCTGCTCTTCGGTCATCTTCATGAAGGGATCCAGGAGATTCATACGCGAGCCCGGGGCAGCGTAGGGGTCGGGGGTGGGGGTGAGGGGCTGCGGGTGGCCGGGAAAGGCGAGAAGCCCAGCAGCGGCTCGGAGACTCGAGGCGCGGGCTCCTCTCTCCCCTCGGCTGCCCGGGCACGGGAACGCGGGGCCGCGGGGGGGGGGGGCGCAGGGGGGCGCGCGGGGCGAGCGGCTTCCCCGGGAAGCTGGCGCGCGGCGGCGGCGGCGGCGGCACCTGGTAGCGGCGGCGACGAGGCGACTTGGCCAAGGCTCTGAGGTTGGCCGATCGGCAGGCTGCCCGCTCCAAACCGGGGAAGGCGAATTGGAGAGGAGGAGGAGGAGGAGGAAAGAGAGTAAAAAGTGGGGCACTGGCACCCCCACCCCTTTCTCTTCTCCTCCGGCACAGAAAAGTTCCCGGAGTGTGAAACTGGCCAAAAAAAAAAAAAAAAAAATAGATCGCGCTGCTGAAGTTTCTCCCGCGGCGGTTGCGAGCTCCGCTCCCGGCTCTCCAAACTCCCAGCCCCGGGTCTCTTTAATAAATACTCCCCCTCACCTTAGAGACGCGGGGCCAATCACAGCCCGGCCTGGCAAGCAGCTGATTGGACCGCATTTTAGGAGGAGGGTAAGAGGCTGGTGGCGCAGGGCTGGGTGACCGGACTGGAGGGGAGGGGACGCGGAGGAGAGGAGGGGGGAGCTGTGCCCAGGGGTGGATGGTTTGGTTGGGGGTAGTGGGGGTGGGGTAGTGGGGGTGTCTGTGTGGGGGGGCAGAGGGGCTGAAGGAGAGGGGGGAGACCCGTCCCCAAAGTGTGTTAAGTCTGTCCTACTTTCTGAATGTTAGCATGTTGGTTCCGTCTCCGCGCGAACTTCTCCACTTGCGTGTGCGTGTTTGTGTGCGTGCTCGCGTGCGTGTGCGATCTAACCCCCCCCCGCGCGCGCACACACACACACACACACACACACACACACACAACACCACCTATTGCTTTTCACTGATCTCTCCACGGTACTCGGGACTTTAGCTGCAGTTCGAAGCATTAGGAAAAACGAAAAATAAATAGAAAGAAAAAGTAGCCGCTGCTCAGTGAGAACAGCGCAGTTCAGCCCCGAGCCGGTCCGCTTCCCCCCCCCCCCCCCTTCCCTCCCAAAAGTGCTTGGAAAGGGTCTCTTGGAAGCGAGTGTTGGTCGTGGCTCCACGGCCGCCGGTTCCTCGGGTCATCACCACCCATCGGAATGGATTCGCTGGGCACTCCGCTGAGAGATCTTGCAAAGGAAATCAGGGACAACCCCAGCGTAGTCCCCGGGCGAAGGTTGGCTGCGGGGCCGCGGGCCGCCGCCGGAGCAGCGGAGGGAGAGCACGGCTTAGTTCCCGGAGCTTGCTCTCCTCTCTCCCGGCCGTCCCGCGCGCCCCGCCGAACTTGAACTCAGACAAGTCCTTCTCCCATCGATCCCCCCCTCTCCCCCACCCCCACCATCTCACTTATTAACACCCCTCGGTGATCCCCGACCACTACTAGTTTGTCGTTTCTCCTAGTCTTTACCTCCGGGCTGAGTCACCGACAAACCATCCCCAAGAGTTTGCCACTGGAAAGCGTTTGCAAACGCTTCTGGCTTGGAGACCTCCCTTTCTGAATGCGTTCGGGGGTTGGCGGGGGGGGGGTTTGAGGCCCAGGCAGGTCACTTGAATTGTCAAACTTCAAAGCAATGGGCACGACTGCAGGGGACTGGTGGTGGAGGGCAAGAAGGCTTTTGGGGGGGGGGGGGGGAGGCTAGCCGCGCTACTTGCTTCCTGAGTTCTCTCCCTCCTTGACCAAATAGCTGAAGGGGCCCCGAGCTTGCGTTCTGACTCCAATCGGGGGTTCCCCGGCAGGAGCGCACACAGGTGGGAGTTTGGGGGTGGGGAGGAGGAGGCCCCGGGAAGCGTCTGCGATGTATATTCTTTCCAGCGTGATCTGAAGCTCAAGCTTCGAGTTTATGCGAACTCTGTTTTTAGAGTCAGGCTGGATAAATGCGAAGTTATCTATTCGGGGACCAAAGGAGAGGTGGAAAAAATCTTAAGTTATCTGCGGGTGATTCGACAGACCTCAGAATTGCAAATAAACGCACCTCGGTGGAAAGCTCTTTAAAGTGGAGGGTTTACCCTCCCCCTTTTCTAGTTCTTGCAAAAGTTGACCTCGAATTAAATGACCTATAAGGTGACACAGCTCACAACATATTCAAGAGAGCTCCCCTTCCTCCCCCGCCCACCGCACACACACGCGCGCGCGCGCGCGCGCACACACACACACACAGATTTGTCAAGTGTGGACACAATCACAAGATTTAAACAACCGTTTTATTGGTAGTGTTTTGTTTCCCACCCCCTACACATCTCGTATTCTGTTGTGTCTTCCCAGCTGGACATTTCTTACAGGACAAGGAACTCTTGATAAGGTAGTTAAGTCACAACCCCGTTCAACAGGATTTTCTGTTCAAACGAATGCGGCTCATTCGTATTGAATAGCGCGAGTTCCCTATATCTGGTTTGCGAGTTTAGGAGACCTGAAGATAATAGCCTTGCATTTATGGCTCTGTGATGACTCTCCAAGTGTAAGAACAACGCTGTACCTTCTTGGAGAGGAAAAAAAGTACCGCGTAGTCTCTGTGGAGGAGGAGGCCGGTTGGGTGTAGGTCTAAACTATGTCATTCTGATCCAGGAGTCCCAGAGACCAACCCATCACAAGTAGACATTTCAACCCAGGTGCCCGAACGTAGCCGTATTGGATTGTAATGACACTTTTACTGGCCTACAGGCAATGAAAACAACTGTGACTTTAAGATAATTTGGAATAGTTCCCTGAATATTTGTCGACAGATAGGTACAGGCATACATATATATTCATATTTAATACAATGATACAGTGAGAGTTGGAATACGTAGCCACATTTTAAGCCACGGACGCTGGTGTTTGGCGCGTGTTTTTTTTTTTGTTATTAGTTTGCCCTTTTGATGCGAGCGTTTTCTACTCGTGTCTTTTTTTTGAAAACTTGCAAACAATCCGAGCGGGACTGCAATTTTCAGCTGCTTCCAGAGGGGGCGCCAAAAGCCCAGTTACGGTGTCCCAACCCGGAGAAACCGCGGGCCGATTCCACTGGCGTTGGCCGGGTTGGGTGGTGGTAACTGGTGAGGGTGGTGGTGGTGGTGGTGGTGATGATGGTGGTGGTGGTGGTGATGGTGGTGATGGCGATAGTGCGTTCCACTCCGTCGGAACGGTATTGAGGTTGAGATTTATCTCGGCCAGAATCTCTAGGGCATTTTTCTCCCTTCTGCTTTAGCAGTTGGGAGAATTTGGGTACGCGTACGTGGTGTCTATGGGGAAGCAGGAGGAAACTAGAAAATGTATGTCCGAGGTGTCTATGCTGCGCAGAACCGGGAGACTGAGGCTCGCAGAAGATCTCTTTTCCACTTCCCCCCACCCCAACGCCAAGTCAGGATCTGGCCGCGTCTGGCACGCGCGCGCGCGCGCGCACCATCAGTTCTGGAATGGTTGCTGGTGCCTCTCTTCAGGACCAACCTACCCTCCCGATCCCCGCTTAGGAGGGAGGGAGAGGGGGGCTTGCTTCCTTTCCGGGGTGGGGGCTTGACTGCCCGGGTAGCCCAACCTTTCCTCCTTGACCCACCCGACAAGATGCTGCTAGCAGTCCCTAGCCAAAAAGGACTCGAGCCCGAGAGCGGGAAGGAAAAGACCTCCCCATCCCTACCCCCGTTCCTGTCCTTCAGGTTACAGATTGGTAAACTGAGGCAGCGGCTGCGGCGGGGCGGGGTGGGAAGGATCAACAGTTTTAGTTAGAGCTTTCTACCGGGGTCTTCAAGCTGAGAAGGACAAAGTGAAGGTCAGGACTGCAGGTAGGCGGCTGCCGGTAACCTCCCAACTTAGGCGATCCGCTTTGGGGGGCGCGCGGGGGTGGGGTGGGGTGGGGAAACCCGCTCCCCAACAAGCGCCGCGAGGTCTGCCGCCAGGAGCCGGAGACACGGAGGTGCTAGTGGATCCCCAGGGAAGGACCTTGGGAAACCGAAGTCTGAGATTCCCCGCACCCCCTTCCCTCCTCCCCCCCCCCTGCTTTTTTTTTCTGCGTCCCGGGGCCGGCGCCGGGCTCAATTTCCCCCGCCCGGGGGTGGGGTGTATGTGGGGAGGTGGGAGGTGGGGGAAGCCGCCAAACTCTCCTCCCGGTACACGCGCGCGCGCGCGGGAGGCGAGACGCAAACCCAGAATTGGCGCGGGGCCTTTGCGCTGCCCACTCCGTGCGGGGGGGGGGGGAGGAGCTCCGCGTGTAGCTGGGAGTGAAGGATGGGGGGGGCGGGCAGATGTACTCCTTGTACTTATGGGTATCTGGAGCTCCCCCAACCCTTGATCCCCAAATTCTTTTGCAAACACAAGGACCGCGTCTAAATCCGTTTTCAGCCGCAGGGTTGCTTGTCCTGGGAATTGTACCGGTGCCCGGTCCCTAAGATCTCAGCCTGGGTTCGCGCACAGGGGAGTAGGGGGGCGGGGAGGGAAACGATCAGTCCAGGGGACGGCCCTTGTCCCTCTCGGTCTCCGGACCAAGTTCTCTCGGGTGGAGGTAATCTCTCCCGAGAGACCTCGGTGCTGGCGGGACACTCGGCTCCCTTCTCCCAGCCTGGCCTCCGAGATCAGCGCCGGTATCCCAGCACCCAGAGCGTGCGTCTGTCTGTCTGTCTGTCTGTCTGTCTGTCTGTCTTTGAGCTTTCCTGTCCTGCAGCTAGATTCCTTGGCCAGGGAGGGGCAGGTAAGCGCGATCTCAGGTCTGGCCGTGCAGGGTGGACGGACGATATCACCACAGCCGAAGGGCGAAGGAAAGCGCAATCCACGTGGGAATAATTGTAACCTGTGGACATTTTGTCCGAGTGCGTGTAGGCCAGACTCCCTCCTCTCCCTCCCCTCTCTCCCCACCTCCCCCCCCATCTGCAACCTGTTTCCCCAGTACAGCCTTCGAAAGTACAGCCCGACCTACACCCGGGTTTCTCCCCAAACGGGCCGTCCTAATTGTGGGAGGTTGTCGGCCAACTGAAACCCAGGAGCGTACCTGCCGGGTCCCCCTAAAAAGGAACGGCCTTTCAGTCTCCTTTTCTGTGTGTG